TAAAATATATGTTGCATACAAATATACATACATATGTATAGAATATATAGAAAGAGAGAGAAAGAAAAAGAGCATATTTATAATTTTTATAAAATTTTTCATCTCTCTTGATATATCGTATAATTATCATGAAAAATATTAGTTTACTTTGTGTATACGTGTATGCAAGATTAAATGAAACACACGCACATACGTAAAGAGTAAATATGTGAAATTATTATTTAAATTCTTGTTATGAAATAATTATTACTTATAATAATAATAATAATAATAATAATAATAATCCATAATACTATTATCATAAAAAATTAGTATAACTCTATCTATATTTATCCATTATTGTCTCAATATTAGCAAACAATAATGAAGATAAAATATTTTATATAATGTAGTAAAACAAAATGATAAATTTGATAATTTTAAAAATGCAATACTGTGTTAAATAGAATAATTATTTTACATATTACAAGTAAATACAAATGTATATACTTTAAATATGTAACTTCTTAAGAAAAAAGGTATAATACGTGCAACAACATTCGTGAAATATATAATATTTAACTCATTTTATAATTTTATAAATAACGAATTGTGCTATAATAATCATCGAAAAGTTTATTCAAAACACGTATTATATTATTTCTATTTAAATGAATTCGTTCGGTTATATTTAGGATCGTATAAACCGTGTTTGAATTTTTCGTTCCGCCATTATCCGTAGATGGCATCACAATCGTGTTATTGCAAGCTTGCGCATACCATATATTTAGATGCAAGTGTTAACAAGAACACTGTTAACAAAGATTTTTCATTACTTTATATGGCCTTTTTTCTAGCCGGTTTCTACAGTTTAAATAAGAGTACGATAAAGATTGACAGAATAAAGGTCAGTCTTTGAATTTAAAACGATTTTTTATTCATGTATTTTATGTTTATTGTTTTATTGAAAAATCTATTGTTTATATAACATTAACGCTATATTCAAACAAAATGAAAACCATAAATGTATATATAAAAATATTCTTTTCTTTTTAACATTTTCTTTCGTATTTTGATCATTTCCATTCTATCGACAGTCGTGAAAGAAATAAAAGCTATTTCTTTCTTTTTATTTTTCCTCTGTTAAATCAAAGTGGTCTTCGAACGCTAAAAAAATATTATTACTATTGTAATTAGAGAGAATACGATGAATCGTGTGAGACCGAGATTAATAACTTTCGATGTTACTGGAACATTGTTAATGACAAAGTTAAAAGAACATTATACCGAGATTGGATATAAATATGGCTTATCAATCGAGCCGCATCAATTGGCGCGAAGTTTTGAAACTAATTTTCGACAACTCGCTATCGAACATCCAATATATGGAAAATATACTGGACTTGGATGGGAAAATTGGTGGAGAACGATCGTTCATAACGTATTTAAAGAACAAAATAAAAATATTCCTGATGCGACTCTTGATAAGGTAAACATTCTACGTTTATAGAATACGTAATACATTTTTAGATTGCTATATTTATAAAAAAAAGAGAAAAACAGTTCAATGATTGTTAAAAAGAGAGGTAAAATAACTAGGTTTAGCGATTTTATATGATCGGTGCGTTAAAAAAGAGAATGTACATGATAATTCGATGTTGATTAAAAATATGTTTCTCTCATTAATATTTTATTATTAATATTAATATAATCTTCTCATTAGTATTTACTTTGTTTCTTTGTAATAATAAAAATCAAAATTAGGACTCATCATTATCGTAAAATAAAAAAAAAAACAATTTGTTTTATTTGAAATAAATTATTTTAACGCGATATCAATTAGCAAGATGATCGTTGATGACCGATGTTTTTTCTCTCGGTGGGGCCTTGGAGGGTCGTTCTCGACCACCATTATTATATCGTTTTATATCTTATCTTAGAATAATAAATCTTAGCTATAAAACACATAAAACATGCGTGACAATCGACATTTTAAATGCGATGCATTATATTAATAATTATTATTATTGTAAAAGACTCGTTATAGATAATATTATTTACGACTCTTAGGTTGCTAGTGCCCTGATAAAATGCTATAGCACAAGTAAGTGTTGGCATACATACCCAGGGACAATCGAATTGCTCGAATACCTTCATAAACACAGAATAGTATTAGGAGTGATATCCAATTTTGATGTGAGATTGGAAAATATTTTGATAGATCTCAAGATCAGATCATTTTTTTCCTTCATATTGACATCATACAATTTTGGTAAAGAAAAGCCAGACAAATCGATATTTATGGAAGCTTTAAGATTATCAAATAAAGATCAACAAGTAGATATTGTACCTCGACAAGCTATACATATTGGCGATACCATAAATAATGATTACTTTGGCGCAAAAAATGCACAATGGAACGCTCTGTTGATCAATCACAGAAATAAATCTATTGACGAGGGGAATGTTTGTAAAGATGATATTTTTATAAATCTTCTAGATCTACAGAGGCATTTTGAAACGTTGTTAAATAAAACGAATTAAATATAACGTTAGAATTATTATTCATTGTTGGTTTCAAGATAATATTTTCAATAGTAGATTCATCATAAGTTGCAAAATTGACTGTTTCTTTTCTAATAGTATTATTATCATAACTACTTAGGTATTATAGTAATAGCAATTAACACATTGTGTTTAATGACTTTGTAGTACAATTTTATTTGTATTAATAATCCTTTGAGTATATTATGGACGCATATATACACCCAGCAATAGCAATCTACATGGATTAAGGGTGCATATATGCATCCAACGAAAGCAATCCACGTTGACTAAAAACATATATATATGTTTATCAATTTTTTTAATCTTCTTTTTTTGTTATTTAATCAACATAGTTCATATTAGCAGACAAGTCATTCTGACCCCAATAATTGCAACCATTAGGCGCATACCATCCATATAGAGTGCTTCTGCTATGAGCACTCAGCACTCAAAGGGTTAACTTTAAGATACCATTAGATATTAATATGTTAATAATATATTATTATTAGATGTATGTGTTAATCACGTGCAATAATGTTTCCAATTTCTTTATACAATTTATTTCTTGTTAAATTTAAAGAAAATATATATAGATATATATGTATATATATAAACATATATACTTTTAAAATAAATTGCAAATATGTATATTCGTTTTATTTTCAGTCAAATACCTTGAAAATTGATCATAGATCGTATATTAAATACCCAACATTTTATTTATATCCAACATCTTATAAAGATATATAAATATATAAAATAACTTTAACAAATATTTTGGATAAATTCTTATATTTAATTATTTTAATTAATAGATGAAAAAATTTATTCGCATCATGCTTATTCTTCAAAGCCTTGATTGCATACCACCGCCAGCTACAATTGTTTCCCCAGTAATATATGATGCATCTTCACTTGCTAAAAAGGCAGCAATGCCACTAATTTCATCTGGCTTTCCAAGTCTTGCAAGTGGAATCATATCCAAAGATATTTTACGTGCTGTTTCAGATTGGTACAACTATAAAGCGATAAAGATATAAAATTTATTTCCTTCATTACCGAATAGCAGAAATAAATAAACATACCGGCTGTGAAAATTTGGTTTCGATAATACCAGGTGCTATACAATTCACTCGAATTCCATATGGAGCTAAATTACTTGCTGAAGCTTTACAAAGCCCTAATAATGCCGTTTTACTTACCGAATAAACTCCAAGCAACTGAAATTATACAAAACAGAATATTGATAATGATCTAACTTATAATTAGATCATATTCTATATTAATTCTCCTAAAACTATAATTATTTGCGAGACTTGTGATACGCTTTACGGAACAAACATAAGAAGCTCCAGTCTTATTCACAAATATGGTATGCAGCTTCACGCGCTAAATCATAACGTACAGGGATAATTTATAAATAATAATAATTCTTTGATTACATAAAAATACGTACATCGAATGGTTGATATCCAGCTATCGACGATACAATAATTATCGATGGTGATTTACTATCCTTTAAAAGAGGTAAAGATTCTTTCATAAGTAAATATGTGGATTTAACATTAACATCAAATATTTTATCCCAGACATTCTCGTCGCTGTCTAGAACTGGCCCAGCTTGTGGATTTGCTGCTGCATTAGAAACCAAAATATCTAGACCTCCGAACAAGGATTTTGTCTACAATAATGTTGTTTATTTATTCTCAATAATCTCTGTAAAGAATATATTAAACATGTAATTTTTTTTTTATTTACTTCTTTGAATAATTTTTGTCTCTGTTCGGCTTTTCCAACGTGACAAACGGTACCAGAGACGGATAAACCTTCTTGGAGTAGTTCATTTACAGCTTTGTTTACGTTAGATTCTTTTCTACTACTGATCATAACTTTCGCACCTTCCTGAGCTAAACGTCTTGCTATAGAATATCCTATCCTATAAAAAGAAATTAGCTCTATAATCCTAAATACTTTATTTTTTAATTGCAATGTTATGAACAATATCTTTTATGCAATTTAAATGACATCGAACGATGAATATGTTGCTAACAAATATTTTAGTGTTTGAAATTTACATAGATACATAAATTATTATTTATACAAAATAAATGAAATAATTAATCACCCTTCCGTAGATGCAGTAACGATTGCAACTTTGCCTTCCAAACGTCTGCATTTTATCTGTGTATTGACACTGAAATTTCGTAGATTTTGACTTGCAGCTGTACGCAACATTTTAAATATGTTTAAAATGTCACGATTCTATGTTATAACAACTATTACTTAGACTTTGATCGGTATAATCATTCAAATGACTTTTCACTATTATACGTTTATCCAATAGTTATAATACAATTAATATGTGTCAGAATCATATACTTTGAACATAAATAAGAAGAGGAAATTAATAAAATAGTTAAGTAACTAGTGGCTTACAAGCTACATATGATCTATGCTCCAACTTATATGCTTCAATAAAATAGAAGAAAAGAATTTCCCTATCGTATTTTTTTATATAACTTTCGTTTTTAATTATAAGTATCAAATGATAAGCAATGAACTAAAGTAATTAGTGAATATATTAATTGATAGTGGGGATCCTATAGCCTGCGACGTGAAAATTGACCACCTACGTAAAAGTAAAATGTGTAATCTTAATTATGATTTGTTGTAATTAATTCATTTCTTTTAGTGAAGATTTTAACTTAATTTTTATCATGTAGTTATTTGAGTGAAATGATAAATATCATAAATAAATATTTTCGCAATAATTTAACAAAAATGGAATCAAGACATAACGTGTTTTCATTGGTGAGATAACAGAATTCATTTTAGCGCGCAATATTTGAACGTTAAAATGTTAATATCTTATCGATGATGGATTATTACTGATATTATTATTGATATATTTAATAATTGTTAACAATTTATTAACTGTTTTTACCTTTCGCAGTCAAGGCATTTTTACTAATGCCGCCTGCAAAGTGGGGCTTTTAAATCCATATTCTATTCAAATGTGATTGTTATTAAAACAAATCTGAATTAATTTACTAGTACTCTTTTAGATCCATAGAATATTTTCTAATAGCTTTTTCTATTATTTACAACTTTAATTTAAAAAACTCGTTATTTAAGCATTAATTTATAAAAAATAGAATATTAATATAAAATTAAATATATTATTGAGAAATATATTTTATGAAATAATACTTTACAAGTATATAGTACTAGGATAAACCTTTACAACAAAGAAAGCTCGACAGTCCTGACTAAAAAAAGTACAATTATTTTAATGATCAAAAATTGGTGAAAATTTGAATGCTCGAGTAAACAGAATCATTAAGAAAAACAACATTTCTTGCAATAATAACGTTTATCTTTTATTGTTATGTTAATTCTCCGCAAGCTGATATAACAACTTTTTGAGTCGTGGTGCCAGATTGTGTCCCATACTTTTCCATTTTTTTTAAAACATCTAAACCACTAAGGACATGACCGAAAACTACATGTTTCCCATCTAACCAATCTGTGCGTGCCGTACAAAGGAAAAATTGTGATCCATTTGAATTTGGTCCTGAATTTGCCATTGACAAAGTACCTGGTCCTGTGTGTTTCAATTCAAAGTTTTCATCCTCAAACTTGTTTCCATAAATTGATTTTCCACCAGTTCCATCATGGTTTGTAAAGTCTCCTCCTTGACACATCTACCATACAATTCATTAAGGATTCATGTGTTCTCTTACATTAATCAAAATTATATAATTTAAAAGTTAAAAAGTATAAAAGGATACAAAATCTGGAATAATCCTGTGAAAAATACTGCCTTGATATCCATAACCTTTCTCATGAGTACAAAGCGCACGAAAATTTTCGGCTGTTTTCGGTACGATATCTGCCCGTAGCATCATAATAATTCTACCCAACTCCTGCTTTCCAATGTTGATATCGAAATAAACTTGGGGGTTTTTCTTAGTCTTTTTAGATTGAGATGTATCATCCGTCTTAGAGTTTTCATCGGTTTTAAGCGTTTCGCCTGCATGTTCTTGCAACCAAGTGTCATCTGCCCATACTGGTTTTGATGAACCTTCCTTTATCTTTTGAGGCTTAGCAATGTTTACTCTTATCGTTCGTCCAAATAATTCGGAATCATTCTGGTGTTAATCAATATTGATAAATTACAATATAATCAATTGTTTTTATATATTATTAGATCAATATCTTATCGGTAAATACAACAAGACATTAATAATGCATATTTACAAATTTATTTTTATTTCATATTCAAAAGACAAAATTAAATATAAAAAATATAATTTTACAGTAATTATAATAAACCTACCATATTATCTATCGCAGCGGCTGCATCTTCAGCAGTTTCAAATTCAATAAATGCAAATCCCCTGTGTTTTTCAGATTCATAATCTAATGGTATTTGTACATCAATTATTTCACCAAATGGTATAAAAGCAGCATGTAATACTTTTTCATCTACTTCTTCTGCTAAACCACCTATATAAGATAAGAATATATATAGTTATATAAATTCAACAAACATAAAATCATTTTGATTACAAATGTCCAAAGAGGTTAGTCGAGTTGTTATCAGATATACATATATATTTATTATTTTTCGTTATTATCATTGAATGAATATATATAGCAATTATTAACCTACCGACGTAGATAGTTCTCTTTGTATTGCTACTCATACTTCTTGTGATCTTTCATATGTTTTTTCACTTCTTTTATATATGACTTAACCAAACAAACACGTCTCGACACCGACTTTATTATTGACTAAAAAACGACAATTGTCAGCGACATCATCGCCATTATCTCCGAATAGGGATGAAAAGGGATTAATGTCAAAGTACTTTGAGAGAACCACGTTGCGTTATATAAGATCAATTTGTCACGTTAATGTTCGCAATTGATATAGGAAGTTCAAACGTTGACGTAGTCTTTCGGCTTTGCTAAACTCTTACGGAAACAATCGTTTCGAAAAGATTACCTTATTGATATATTATTAAAGTTTAAACGTGACTTATTATCACAGGTTTTTATTGATTTAAACTTACAGGTAAATGGTATTGACAGTGAATTATTTATAAACATTTTATAATATCATTTAAATATGTACATTTATAAATCTTGTTGAATAATTGTTTCGTAAATGTATTAACATTTAAAAAATATTTTTTTTTTAAAGATTTTTATTATAATTTTTTAGACAGATTAAAATGCATTCATTAAGAGGAATAAAACTGAATGTAACCGTTGTTAACCGTGGATTACATTTATTGAGAGACCAGGCTTATATTGATGGAAAGTGGTTAAAAGCAAAGACTTGTCAAACATTTCCTGTTCTAAATCCAGTCGATAAATGCATCATTACAAATGTCCCTGATATGAATCAAGATGATACTCAAATAGCTATTGATGCTGCATCTAAGGCATTTGAGACATTTAAATCAACAACAGCAAAGGAGAGAAGCAATTTGTTAAGAAACTGGTATAATCTTATGGTTAAACATTCCGAAGATTTAGCACAAATTTTAACCAAGGAAAATGGTAAATCGTTGGCTGAATCCAGGGCAGAAATTAATTATGGAAATTCTTTTATTGAATGGTTTTCTGAAGAAGCAAGACGCATTAATGGTGAAGTCCTTCAAGCTCCCATTCGTAACAGAGAATTGCTTTTGTTGAAACAACCGGTTGGAGTATCTGCATTAATCACGCCATGGAATTTTCCTCATGCAATGATCACTCGAAAAGCAGGTGCTGCTCTCGCAGCTGGATGTACTTGTGTCGTTAAACCATCTGAGGACACGCCACTCACTGCACTGGCGCTGGCTGATCTTGCAGAAAAAGCAGGCTTTCCTAATGGTACTTTTAACGTACTAACAACGAGTATTAAAAATTCTGCTGCAGTTGGCAAAGAACTTTGCAATAATCCTGTAGTGAGAGTCGTGTCATTTACCGGCTCTACTGCCGTTGGAAAGATTTTGTATAAACAATGCGCAGGAACCATGAAACGTCTTAGTCTTGAACTTGGAGGTAATGCACCATATATCATTTTCAATTCTGCTGATTTGGATGCAGCTGTTACTGGGGCAATGGCCAGCAAGTTTCGTAATACAGGCCAAACTTGTGTTTCTGCAAATAGATTTTTTGTACAAACAGAAGTATTTGATAAGTTTGTTGAAAAATATTTAGTTAAAATTAACAGTGAAATTAAAATGGGCGATGGTAGCAAAGAAGGTATCACTCATGGACCTCTTATCAAGGATAGCCAACTGAAAATGGTTGATGATTTGGTTCAAGATGCAATCTGTAAGGGAGCTAAAGTACATTGTGGTGGAAAACCGTTACCTGAGCTGGGTCCATTATTTTATGCTCCTACGTTACTTACAGACGTTACCAAAGATATGAAAATATATAATAAAGAAATATTTGGTCCTGTTGCTGTTATTAATAAATTCCATAAAGAGGAAGATGTTTTGAAGGAAGCTAACAATACTCCCGTGGGATTAGCTGGATATTTTTATTCGCAAGATATATCCCAGATATTCAGAGTAGCAAGGAAGATGGAAGTTGGCATGGTGGGCGTGAATGAAGGATTAATATCATGTGCTGAGGCTGCATTTGGTGGCGTAAAGGAATCAGGATTAGGAAGAGAAGGATCTAGTCATGGCATAGATGATTTTGTTGATATTAAATACGTGTGTATAGGAAACTTAAGGCATTAATTATCAAGTAGTTAAAATTAAGCAGATATAATTGGTAATCTGAAACAAAATTCCGAAGTACAATTTTAAATATATATCTTCAGGGCTTCCATTAAAATATTCAAAGTTACTATTAGTTTTAACGTAATGTATACTTTTATAGTGAGAGTAAGTAAGTAATCATTGTATAGATTCAATTATATTATTCTACAATATACTATTATTTTTCTATTTTGAATATCAATAGTAAATTGAATGATAGATTATATTAATTCTTTTTATTTTATCTAAGATTACTCACATATGTATTCAAACACTAATGATAGAGTTATACATTATTGTGATTTATGTTTATTTAATATGATATATCTAATGAGTATTCTTTTTTTTAATTAATCAAACAAACGATGTGATGTCTTCTACGCAACTTGATTTCGATTTAATAGTTTATATACAACCGTACTGTTTGTTATTTGTAATGAAATATTTTAAAACTATTTTCTTATGTTATTATTATTATATATATTAAATATTTAAATAGTAAACGGAGAACAATAAATTCTGTTAATGATAAATGGATGGTGATATAATGATTTCCAGATAAGGGCATGTAAATGAATAAATATACCTATATGTGGATATACATACAAGGTAATTAGCGGCATAAGTAAGCAGATAGTGATTCTATATGAGAAATTAAGTCGAAAATGTAGAATAACATTTGTTCATATAAGGCTTTGTTTATTTTACATTTGTAACTTAATTTTTTATGTAGAATCATCAAATCTCTTCGGTTATCAGTAAAAATTTTCTTTCTCTAAAAACTCCTTAATGTTCATACTTGTTATTTTCAATAATGTCAATTTTTCACGAATTTGTCACTCGAAACATTTTTTTCTACCGGTATTATTATCGAAGCTTCGGTAAAAACTCCAATAACTTTGGGTATCACAATTTGTAAGAGTCAAACGAACGACATGGACTTTGTTCGCTATAACTTAGCCATTTCCACTGTCGGACTTGTTGTTTTTTGTGATCTCATGCTAGATCTATGAATTAGTTTACTTCGCATCACTTCGCCACGAAGGGATGCTCTCATCGAAATCCTCGTACTAGTTCTGCTGAATGATCGGAATATTTCTGGTGCCGGGGATTCTTTTTCTTGCGATTTCCTGGATTAAGAAGAAAAAAAGAAGAAAAATGAATGACAATTAGAAACATTATGTTGAATATTTGCGTATACTAACTTTGAGAAGCAGGGTACATCCCACATTTTTTGATTCAAACCAAAGTTCTCGCCATCTTCCAAAGTCTGTGGCAAATCCTTGTCTAACGTTTCTGGTAGGAAAAGAGTTAAGAGACCTCCTAAAATTCCAAAGATACCTAAAAGTAACAATGGAAGGATCGAAGAAATAATATTCAAATAAACTACGAAGGGTGCTAAGATGCTGGCGACGTATCCCATTATGTGAATCAATGCAACTCCTTGAGCACGTACTACGGTTGGTAAAACTTCAGCCGCGTATTGCAAGCCTATATTGTAGGAAATGTTTACCCAAAATCTACCACATATAGCAAGAGTGGCGGAATAAACATCTGTAAGGAAAAAGACAAAGTAATCAGTAGTTGGTAAAATGTAAAAATGAATATCCCTAAAAGATAACTTACTGTTTGAAATAGCACAAGCCCAGATACTGAAGATTCCAGATATCACCATTGAACCACATGCTAACCATCTTCTACCCCATCTGTCAAGGACGAGTGTCAAGAATGTGTCAGCCGGTAATTCGGTAGCTGCAGCAACGGTGAACGTGACGAAAACGTTTAAACCAAGATTGTCGACGTTCCTCACATGACCATCGAAGACCAGAGAGATCGCCATCCTTTGATCAAAGATTCGATAAATATAACGTCATTTTATATAAAATTCGTCGATCGAAGAATTCTGTAATTATCCAAAGATTGTTCAAAAATACATATGTGAATTTGAAGTTTTTCCTTGAATTATTTAAAAAATGATTTTCTTTGAGAATCGAAGTTTAATCGTTTTAAATCAGTTTGAAATTTTTTCAATGATCTTACCAAATTATTATGAATAAGATCGTAATCTTACGTAGCCGTGGACTTCTAAACAAATCCAATACGGAATAAGATTTGTCGGCTTCCTCTTCTTTATGCATTTTAGCACAGGTTTCCTACAAATGGCGACGGAAATATAAGAAAACGTGTTTAAATTCGTCCATAAATATCCACTTTAAAATAAAATAGAAATCCTACTTGAAATTGCTTGTAAATGTCATCGGGAACCTTGGTACCATTGATTCGTTCGAACTTTCTCAAGATCCCTATGGCTTGATCTACTCGTCCTTGACTGACTAACCACCTTGCACTTTCCGGTATTAACCAAGGTGATAATATAGCTAAAATTAAGGGAACGGACGTTGCCAAGCAGGTCATTCTCCAGTCGGCCAAAAAATAAGCAATCCAAGGTAAAACACAAGAGGCGAAAGTGAAGAAAATTGCTATCGACATGTTCGCTACGAATGTACGCCATTTTGGTCCGACGTATTCCAAGACTATATGAAAGATTAAAAATAATCAGTAAATATAAATAATTGAATGTGTAATACACTAAATACGACCATTAGAGTGAAACTTCTTTATTAAACTCTTATTAAACATTATGTTGTCAATAATATGATATGAACAATGCTTTTTTTTCTTACCCCTCTTCAAATGATCACATTTTGCATAATATTTTCATGGCTATAGTTTTTCGCGTAATGTTCTTATTTTAGTCACAACCTTGAAAAATTAACTTTCAACGCGATCAAAGAAGTTTCACTTCAATAATTATGATTTTCTTTTTAGATAATTATAATTACCTAATATATACATCATAGTAAAACAATTGTCGAAAGCAAAACCAAAGAAAAAACGACATGCGGCAAATTCCCAGAAACTTCCTGCGAAGATCGTAGCTACTCCTGATAAAAATCCAGTGATGTTTGCTCCAACCAATGCTGGTACTCGACCATATTTATCAGCGATCCATCCAAATATTAATCCACCAAAAATAGCGCCAACAAAAAAGATACTCTGGGCTGTACTTGGTAAAGCACTATTGTCACAAACCCATTCAAACTATGATCAAAAAATGAATACTACAAATTATAAGCTGAATAATAATAATTTTTATATTTTAAATTATATAGCACAAATATTAAACAGTGGAGTAACAAAAAAGTATTTTATAAATTGTTCTGCAAATATCTCATTCAACATATGCAATTGCAACAAAAATTAATATGTACAATTTATATAATTATATTGAATTCAGTATAATTTATAAAATAAAAGATTAACAATATAACGCAAAAAAAAACACAATATTTGCATTAATTCAGAATTTCAAGAAATAATTTATACACAAAAATATGGAAGTTCACATAAAAAACAATCACTTTTCAATAGATTGAGAATTAATCTTTCCTAAACCTTTTTGATTTCTCAAAGAAGTTCTACAAGGTCAATGACAGATAATATAATATCAATAATGCCCTTGACTGCATTAATAATATTCCTTGAATGGTTACGCCAACTTTCTAAATGTTTTCCGTATACTGAAGGGCAAATGAAAAAAAAAAAAGGGAAAGAAAGAAAAAGATTGCTAGCATCGATCTACGTCAGTCTTTCAGTTTCATATCTATTGAAATATCTAACCTCGGTTGCTATAGTTGAATAGGGAATCTCTGTATAGTTGAATTCCCAACCGTGCTGACACTTTTTTATTGACCACGTTGGATTGCTGATATTTATTCCATTTGACAGAATCTCAGTGTAATTAGCATCGTACATGGTACACTTTGAATAACCTTCCTTTCCAACTGGTATTGCTAATGCAATTCTGAAAAATTTTTAATTATTTTTTTTTAATACGAAATATAGGGAACTATTTTACAACATAGTTAATTGGTAACAGGCCGTGTTATGAGAAACTGCAAAATTTACTTATCTTTGATTTTATATCCAAATGATCGTAATTAAGCATTGCTCATTAAATCAATTATTGCATTACAGTATAGATATCTTTTTTATTTAGCGTACAATATTAGTGCTTGGTACGGCAGCGTATAAATTGTTTCGTAATTATTTATGCAATTTGTCTATCGTATTATATCAAAATCCTGTCTTTGAAATATCATGTTGTATGAGAATATTTCACACATTTTCTACTATGCTATATAGGATATTTCAAAATATGTAGGCATAATTTCAAGTTTAATTTCTAAAATAAAACACAAATTTCATATAATCATGAACCGGATATGATCTTGTATCCGAATTACATCTGCTTTTATTTTTCAATAATTCATACAACTTTATTAACTGCTACACTATTAAACAATGATGAGGAACTACTATGTCGTCGTATTGAAAACAGTTGTCGACTAATTCAAATAACACCTGGTATTTCTGAACGACTGAAAAGATCTATGACAAGATGTTTGGAAGTCTGCATTGTAGCTGCAAGTAACCACTTCAAACAGTTTTAATGAAAATCATGTAACAACGCGTATACTACAAACACAAGGTCATATCGGGTTCATATGATTATATGAACTTTTTCCTTATTTTAGCATACTAAAACCACTTTTGAAATTATGCTTACGTCTTTTAAAAATCCCTCTTTATCGAAACCATGTTCTCAAAGTATCCTGTTATGAAAGGGTTGATTGTATATAGGATGATCCTTTTCATATTTTTTTAGTCGTTTAAAAAATAAATTGATTATTTTTAAATTAAATAAGTAACTAAATGAATATAACTATAATTATGATGAATTTTATTATCTTACTCTCGGATATTTCAGAGATTATTTTAATCCTTTTGTAAATATGTTTACGAACATTGTTAGTACAATGATAACTTTTAAATCGGTTATATTTTTATACTTATCGAACCAGGCTTTTATTTCCCAGAATCGTAAACTCAGTCAAATGCACGATTACTTGATAAATCTTCAAAATTATTTTTCTCAATTTTAATATATGATAAAATTTGATTCTACATTTTGGATTTAATTTTTCATATAGAATCATCCCCTGCTCGCTTGTACCATTAGTTACAGGATACCTTGTATATGGGTAATTAAAATCTACGCATTATATTACATATGGCATATCGATCTAGAAAAATGTAAATTATCTTCGACAAATTCCAATAGGATCATTATTATTCTCCTTGTTGTTACTATTGCTCTACCTACAGCTATACAAAGGAATGCGTAATTGAGATTCAATCAAGTAAATTTATTCGATAGGAATGAAAATAACATTAGAACGAGACTACATATTTAATTATAAATTGATCGTTCAATTATCTAATACAATGCACCACAGAACGAGTAAAAGGTTTATTAAGAAGAAAAGTAGCAAGTAAATGAATCATATAAAACAAACATAATAATCAGCAAATCTTCATTAAAAACAATGGAAAGTTACAAAATCTTTAGAAATAATGTTGTTATTCGTATTAATTTGATCAACACATTGTTCGAAAACTTCCAGTTCTTTGGATGATGTATTTTCAGTTTATACGAAAGTATAAATATACGCCATAGTTTATCGATTCATTTAACACATACTTGTAAGTTTTCTTCAACCCGTTTCTTGAATATTGTCAAACACTTTGAGAAACGTGAATAATTACAAATGTTACACAAAATTGTTAATAAATACCTGCGAATCGTTCTAAATACGTTTTTTTCATTAAAAATTAGATAATAATGTAATAGAACGTTTATTCTCATTAGATTTCATATGTAGGATGATAAAAGAGTACAATTAACAAGCCAACTTCGTAAAATCATTGTCGGGAAATGGCAAATTAAAAAATACATCGTGCACATCTTACGATTATACGTCTGATATATATATATATATATGCATTTATGTTAATAAATACCTGCACGTATTCTTATAAGATAATAAGAAGAAAGAAATAGATTTAAAATGTAAATGGATGTTATTATCTATCATGTAAAAGTATTTGTAAGTATTACGAGATAAAAAAATTCGTGGAAAAATTGTATTCATGTTGTTAGTTAGCATGCAGTTAAAGCGAGGTCAATGGAATTATAGTCAGCGAAGGCCTCGACAATGTATTTCGACACTTTCTATGGTCGAACGCGCAAGTATCGTACCTTCAATACTTTCCCGTTTCTACTGGCTTTATAATAATGGATGTTCTTTGAAGTGTAAAAAGTTCAAAAGAATGTCGATAAATAAAAATAACAATAAAAAAATAAATATGTGAAGAGAGAGAAAGAAAGAGAGAGCGAGAGAGAGAGAGAGAGAGAGAGAGAGAGAGAGAGAGAAAGAGAGAGAGTGCGCGAAGAAGATTTTATAATAACCATTATATATAAGTATATATAAGTTATATATCGTCTATGTTCAAGCAAAAGACACTAACTAACACTTATGCTAATCTAAATTATTGTTCATTAAACAAATTTTTAATAGAAAACATCAGGTTTGAGAAAGTATGCTTTTTGTTAATTCTTTCTATTACGCTTTTTTCTGTAACAAATTGGATAGTGAACTTTTCCTGGATTGTTTAGAAAATTGTAACCAATGTAAGCTACATAAATCATTTTGGGCCAAAAATGTAGTTAGTGATTTTTGACTGAACATAAATGATATGCTCTCTCGTTCTAAAAATAAACAATTTCTCTTTAGTTTGTTTATTTTGAAAGATAATTTGTTTCAATTACACTATTGGAAATTTATTCAAATACAATTAATTATTAATTAACATAAAAAGAAAAAAACATACAATAGGAAGTTGTTTTTTCTACCATACTCAACGAAATTTACCGTATTATTGCATCACGTTAATTATTTATTACTTTTACGTTATTAATGTACAACCATAGTTTTTAATATTAAAAACTTAAAGATTAAACGTTTTAAATAAAGAAAAAGTATTATACAATTCTTAAGAAATTATTCGTCTATTGTATTGAAATAGAATAGAAGTTAATTGAGGAAGACAGAAGAACGGGAGTTGGAATCTTTTATAAATAGTTGTCTCTAATTGGATGTTAATTTATTTCTTTTTTATTATCTTGTATGATCGAGTATGATTAAGCATGAATCAACTATGGAAAAAGTTCGAACGTTTTTAAAGAAAAAGTTTGAACAATTAAATGTTAAAAACATCCAGATGATTCATTCGAAGATATTGGATAAGTTCGAAAATGATTTTAGCAAAAACAAAAGAAATAAATAAATAAATTATTATTTATTATATAATTTTCGAAATATTAATTTTAACTCAAATAAAACTTTCATCAATTTTTTGTTTTTTTTTTCTCTTTTTTTTTTTATATGGTAAAACTATTCCTAAGGTATTATAAGAACATTGCTTAATTGTAAACAAAATATTTATTTTATTAAAGAAATAGTTATTTTGATACACTCTGTAGATACTTTCGAAATGTTGTGTTAACGCCGAATGCTCCGTATACTTTAAATGGCCAAATGTACCAATATTTCCATCCTCAAAGAGGTGAGAGTGAAAACTAGACTGTCCCCCATCTACTATAGAACATTATCCTATCTTGGTCACGTAGCCAAATAAGAAAAAGACAGTTTCAAACGAATCGTTATTGTGGAATCGTTAAAGAAAGGATCGTCAAAATGATTGGTAAACCTTAATCACCAATAATTCATTCCTATGGTTGGATTATATAAAATAATGTATTACACTGCTAAGTAATATTGCCCTACTGCATTTGAAAAACTGTGACCACCTTTTTATTGAAACTCTACAGTGAACATGTTTTTCAGTAATATAAAATACATCCGAAAAGATGTTCATAATCTTTTTTTTTTTTGATAAATTAATCATTACACTTAATTGATCATATTAATCTATTTATCAAATAATTAGAAAAGTTCGTACCGTTTCTAGTTTTCCGTATAATTTACCTTTATTGATTAAAACTTTCACGAACGTTCTTGGTTATTTGATATTAGCAAAGAATATGTTATATATTTTAATATCAAGTATCCAAGAAAGTTCACGTATATTATAATCAATATGGATAAATGATACACAAATTTAAAAACGATATGGATTTTCTTGATTATTTGGAATTCAATCCATCGATAGACCTTTTTCGAGTATGTATTTATTTTTGTGGATATTCAAAAAGAATGTTAAACCAATTAAAATTATATGCGAATGAATCAACCGTAATAAATCGATGTATAAATTATACTTCTTTCGTGAGTTTCAGCGATGTCGAATATCATAAGGTTCGACAATAAAATCTTTAGGAAGTGAACGTCTCAATGATAAGAAAAATAAAAGAACAAAAGAAAAGAATTAACTAATAAACGATTATCCATTAATTAATTACAATTATAGTTCCGAACATGATCCAATTATTATCGTACTGATACTTCAACGACAAAGTGAAGATTTTATTTTATTGATAAAAGATAAAATGTAGTTCATGTATTTTTCATTGAGATAACGATAGATCTGTTTTCTTAATTTTTACTTTTAAGCGATATAACAAAAAATTAATCAAACTCGACGTATGCTTATTAAGAGCAAGATATTGAAGATACTCTTTAATATAAAACTATACATCTCGACATATTCTATACTGTGCCTTGTACCGTAATCTTATCGATTTTATCGAGTTTATAATCAACGTTATGCAAGTACATATTTGCACATATAACGTATAATAAGCAGAAGAGATATAGTAAATTTGACACAAAGAAATTTTTTTTTATCTATTATAAATAAATTATCCTTCGTCTGACAGCTTATTTGTTTGCAATGCGTACGTCAAATGACGCGTTTTATTTTATATTTAATATTTTATTAAAACTTATTTTTTTTTTTTATATATTAAAATATGCATAAAATCTTATTGGAAATCTATTTTTAGTTTACCGTTAGCCCTTGACAACAAAGACGAGGACACTCTCTCTCTTTTGTCTATTATTTTTTAACTTTTTTTCTTTCTTGTTTACATGTTTGTAAAGTTTATATCTATCATGTTAGAACGATTAATTTAACTTTTATCCGGTTAATCGTGGAAAATTATAGACATTCGATCTATTGTTTAGTTTTCCGCGAAAGACAATTTGTTTTTTTTATTTTGTTTAACCTTTCTCTTCAAGATAGTAAGTAACGCTCTCGGAAGTAATATTTATAAAAATAGCGAATACAAATCTCCTGCCAGCAATTTTCTTTCTTAAGACGATAACGAGTTTAACGCAATTGTTATTTTCTATCTGCAATTAATTTATATATAACAATTAAGAGGCTAACAATGATATTAATTTTCTTATATTCACATTTTTCATTGTTATTATATCACAAGATTACTTGCGTTTGCGAATGATATGTGCGTGTTCGTTGGTAATTACAAACCGACGTATTTTAAAGATAAAAAAATGTTTGAATATAAATGACCTCCTCTGTTTCAAATATTTTTCGTCGAGTTTATGTTAGAGAAATTCAAACGTTGGAAAAGATATCAAAGAAATGCACGAGCTCTCTCAAACTATCGATAATGATTGTGGCGTAATTTACCGGTGCAACAGCACATATATAAACGCATAGATACCTGGCAAGATTTCAAAAAGATTTATTCGCGCTTCTAATCCATCTATCCCTCGTCGCTTTCTAAAACGTCTGAGTTTATTATTAGTATATTAGACGTGAAAGAAAACCTTCGAGAGATCAAATTTAATCCGTTCCTTTAAAATTTCTTTTTATTTTATTTTATTCTTATTTTTTAATAAAAAGAAAGAATCAAATTTATTTTAAAACGCAATTCACTTTTCTTCCTTAAGAGACAAGATCAAATTTGTTCCTTCAAATTTTTGTTATTCTATTTTATTTTTTAATTATTTTATTTACTTTTTTCTTATTCAATTTAGTTTATTTTATGACAATTAGAAAGAATAAAATTTATATTAAAATGACATATTCACCTTTCTGAGGCGGTAAGATTTTCTAATTCTGGTACCCAACACCAATGTCCTTCCGGTACCAAAGTGAGAAAGATTTGAGAGAAATATACCCAAGCAACGAACGAAGCAAATGGTATCATCAGAATGAAGAGAATCTTTTGATAAAGTCCAAATTCCCCGACGTAAGGTAAAAGATCGTCGAAATCCATTTCTTTCAGATCCTTTCCATTGGCAAGTTGATTTTTAAGATCCTTTCCAGAGTTCTTACGATTCGCATGTTTATCCGTAGAATTTGAAGTCCGTGATAAGGTGTCACAGGTATTATCGGTTAAATTCAACCCAGTGGTTGTTGTATCAAGTTTTTCTTGGGGTGACATGTTTGTAAAACGTGATTTTCCAATTTAATTGTATTCTTTTAAATTAACAAAGGGAAGAAAAAAAGCTAAAAGATCTGTCGCGACTTCACATAGATATCAAATAAAAATCATCGACACTTTAAACGTTTGGATAAAAACACTTGATTTTCTTCGTTGTTAGATGATTATATTCTTTTTATAATAATATCTATGTCATTTGAGTTTACTCATCTAATCACTAAATTAAATAAGAACACGATAATGATTCTTTATTATCGTCCGACAATCACTATCGACGTTTATAACGTAGAAATCATAAAATTTCGTAAGTTATACAATGATTTATTTTTTTATTCGAAATTTATTGTTTAATCAAACAAGAAAACGTCATAAATAATATTAAAATCCGAATGTGTTTAGATTACGATCAGACATTTAAAGTCTAGAGGGATAGGGAGTTGTTATTTAGAACCAAGTCAAGCTAACCCCGCGGTGTCATCAACAACGGGTAAATCCTGAGAGAAGAGACATCATCACTGAAACGTTTATTCCTTAGCCTGCCTATATAGGTATCGACCGGGAGTTTATCCTTCCCCACTCTTTCTCTCTCTCTCTCTCACACACATACACACACATACATGCATACATACATAAACATAATTTTGCTCTCACTTGCTTCATAAAGAATTCAATATTCACTAAACGACATTGAACATAATGTAATTTGCAGTGATTGTCCTTGCTTTTGATATTCGTAATGTTTCTTACATATTGGATTTATTATTTTATCTTCATTAATCCTAAAATACGAGAATAAATATTTACATTAAGATAAATATTGATTTCTTTATTTTAACATATTCAGATACAAAGTAAATTGCAAATATGATGCATTCTATGATCTGTAATTCAAATAAGAAATAGAAATCATTTCTATTTAGATTTTAATTCGATTGGTACGAAACACATTTCTCAAATCGTATGGTTTTACGATACCCACAAGAATGTATGTATTTATAACTTGTTCCAATTTATGAGGTAAACAGGGAGAGAGAGAGAGAGTGATTTGATCTTTCGATACCCTAAGTTGATTCTCTAATAAAAAGCAAGGTAGCTTTAACTTAATAAATAACGTAGTAGTATGTATAAGACGTATATACCTTTAACATTTTCCTATCTAGATTAATCGGCTGATCATTTGTATATACCGGAATTACGTTTGATTCGCTTACATGTTATATTACCTTGGTATGCGTATACTTAACTTATTCCGGTAAATAATACAGTTGCGTCAATATAAAATCTCTGATTTGAAGACATTCAGCATGTTTTCGAAGAATTCTTAGAAAATGTATCATAACGTTAATATTTGTTTCCATAATTACCACCACCATCCCCTTCTACTTTTAATCATAAATAAAAATATTGTATTTCATTATTCTACAAAAGGAAATATTTAAATAATCATTATATGCTTAATGAATCATTGAATAAATAAAAAATGTTCCTACAATGTTTATGTAAGCTTCGCACGAGTTATTTGATCAAAATGCAAATATAAAAAGAAAGTGAGATTTGAATTTGGCGCGATAAAACAGCGGCATTTTTAAATGACCGTAGACCAATCAAGTGGTTATTTTGGACAATCATTCGATTACTTTCTATTTTCATTGTAGTTCGATAGTAGGAATGTTCAGGTGGTCAAAATACGATTGTCCAATGTTCTTTAGATTTTTAAATAAAATTTATTAGTTTTTTTATTACAAAAAAAATATATTTTGTAGTTCCGGACATACGTAAACGCTATGTGTATTTTCTTCCTGTTTTTAGAGAGAAGAACTTCGCGTAAATTTGACGTTCCATGAACGTATATATGTATATGTATATATATAGATACGATTAGATGTATTCGCACTTGGTTAGGAATGAAAAAGTCAAAATAAACGTTCACAAAGTTTTTCCATGAAAGTTCGATCGATCGACATATTTGCTAAATATTTTAATCTTCGAATGATCGAAATACAAATCTGAATAAAATGCAAAATAAGAAACGCGTTTAATATTGAATATAAAAAGAATGATCACCTGCGAATTGATAACCAATTGAAAAAATAAATAAAGTTATTGCGAGCTTCAAAATTATTTTATCAAATAATATCTAATCGTATTTTAGATAAGAGATTTAATCTTTCAATTTTTTACCTATGTTTTTGAAAAGGGAAAGTTATAAGGCAAGGAATTTAGTTGAAACATACAGGTGCTCCTGAAATAGTTATTTGTTGTGCTTTTCTAAACAAAACGTGACAGAAACACCCTAAGTCTTGTTGAGAAAACCATAGAATTATAAAGAAAAAAAGGAAATGTATCTGTAGCTGTTATATATTTATGTATAAAATTTTGTATCCGTTGTACATATACATATATATATATACATATATATATATATGTACATATATAGTGAGTGAAATTAATATGAATGTTATTGAACAACAGTTTGGTGTTTCTGTACAAAAGACCTTCTTCTATGTATAAGATTATGAGTACGATCATCATGTAGTTTAAGATAAAAATGATGTCTCATATCGTAGCTCTGAGTTCTGTAAGAAGAAGATGTATTATCATATTGTCAATAGTATTAGTGCCATGTGCTATTTTAAATCTTTTGTCATCGACGGATATACACGAAGAAACAATTTTGCAAAACAACATTGCTGAATTACAAGTTAAGCTTGAACATTTGCACGCCAAGTATATAAGTAGCCAGGAAGAAATAAATCTATTGTCGCATCAATTGCTACAACTAGTAGAAAGCAATCATATTATACCTGATCTTCAATATCTGATCAATAATGGTACATCTAATATAACAAATATTAAATTACCATCTATATACAATTTTCTTCCACATTTTTTAAATGATCCGAATAGTTTGCGTCCTGCATTTATACAAAGCAAAGGACGTTCCGGAGTAAGCATGGTATTAGGTATACCAACTGTTAAAAGAGAAGTGCAAAGCTACTTGATGGCTACATTAAAAAATTTAATCGATCGTATGAGTCCTACGGAAATTCTTGATACGTTAATAGTAGTGTTAGTAGCCGAAGTAAGTCAATATTTGTATTTCAATTACTTTAGAATAGATTTGTTTCTTTTGATTTAGTTATAACACGCTCCTTTTCTTCTTTTTTGTAGACAGATTTGGATTATGTGACTTATGTTGCAAAGCAAATTGAAGTGCAGTAAGTCTATATTTTTTACACGACCTACCTGAATTTGAATGAACTTGTTTTGGATATGTCTGTATATCTCCCTTTTTGTAGCAACTGAATTTTATATATACATCTATAATCATAGATTAGATTATTGTAGTAGTAGATTGCTTCTTGCATTTATACAAAATATACATTTAAAATTAAAATATTACACTTGTTAACGCCGCATGGAAATATTACAGACATTTATTACTTTTGATTAATTTAACAAAACATTATCGTATATATGTACATATCGTTTGTTCTTAATAACTAAAACACTTTCTCTTGTCTACTATTAAATCATTTTAGATTTCCAAATGAATATGAAACTGGAGTGATCGATGTGATATCTCCATCTTCGTCATATTATCCAGATTTATCTAAATTGCGAGACACTTTAGGAGATGATCATCAACGCGTTTTATGGAGATCAAAACAAAATCTGGATTTTGCATTTCTCATGTCGTATGCTCAGACAAAAGGAATGTTTTACATACAACTAGAGGATGATATTTTAGCTAAAAAAAATTTTATAACTACCATGAAATCGTTTGCTTTACAAAAAATTAGCACAAAAGAGAATTGGTTTGTATTGGATTTTTGTCAATTGGGATTTATAGGTAAGTTTTATTCATAATAATCTAAACAAATTAATAGTGTAAACATAACGTCATTTAATTTTGCATATTTTCTTGCTGTTTAGGAAAATTATTTAAATGCGTGGAACTGCCATGGTTAATCCAATTTTTTCTAATGTTTCATAACGATAAACCTGTAGATTGGCTATTAGATCATTTAATTTCAACTAAAGTTTGCAGTCTTGATAAAGACAGTGTAAGTTTCATTTTAATCCTTGCACTATAATTTAACGCATGAAACTGTATGTCATATTCACGGGTAAGACTTGTGCTTCTTATGTTTAGCCCATAAGATTCGCAATGAATAAGACAAGTCTCATTCGTTGTTATAGTGTAAGGGCAATTAATGTTAATTAATTTTTATTATATTTTATTTATTATTTTCTGATGATTATATATTCCAGAAACATTGTAAGATGGCTAAAGCAGAACTCTGGATACATTATAAACCTTCACTTTTTCAACATATAGGAACACACTCTTCATTGAAGGGAAAAGTACAAAAACTTAAGGTATCCTATCAGATTTGATCACTTATGCGCATCTGTTTGTCCACGCGTATACAATCAAAATGTTTTCTAATTAATATTACATTTAAATCGTAGGATAAACAATTCGGCAAAATTACTTTATACTATGCTCATGAAAATCCTGATGCATTGGTAGAAACTCAAATAAAACCTTACAAACAATATACGCTGCAAAAAGCATATAAAGGAGAATCATTCTTTTGGGGGCTTTTACCACAACCGGGGGATCACTTAAAGTTTAAATTTTCACATTCTATTTTTATAAAAAGGTTAATATTATGCAAGAATTATTATGTTTTTTCTTAACAACTTATTAACTATATGTATTTAAATTTAGGTACTTATTTAGAAGTGGAAATCCTGAACATCCGTCTGACAGATTTTATAATACAACTGTTGAAGTGTTACCTGAAATATTTATGTCTGTAGATAGAAATAGTAATGATATAACAGAAGATGGTTATATTATTGTAGGTCGGTAACAATATGATTTATTTTGAAGATATCTTATAATTTATATCAAATTTTTTTTAGAAAATTTGTAATAAAATATATGTGCAAATTAATAGGTAAATTTGATGCTCTTGGAATTGCTCAAGGAACGGTAGATAGAAAATATGGAAAAATATCTGTTCTTAGATTGACTGTGCATAGTGAAAGTGAAAATTGGGCAATTTTATCTGAGGTATAAATTTAATTAACTTTTTTTATTTTTTTTTACTTGTATCTATAAAATTTCATTGATAAAAATGTTAATATTATTGAACAGATTCATGTAGTAGAAGATCAACCAAGTTGACCTCTGAATGAAGAATTACATCAATATTTTCGGTATCATTTGCATGGCTGGAATGCTTGAGCTATATTTTCTTTAGTTATTACAATTTTCATTTCTAAATTATATTGATTTATTTGAACAGCGTTAATGTGCCAAGTAGATCACTAATTAATTCAAAAAAAAGTATTAGTATTATTCGTTTATGTGTGCTATATTAAAATATATAAATATAAAATATTATTAAATTATATATTACATTTCTACAACTATGATTCATAATTTTACATATTATTAAACATATACTTATTAAAGACAGAAACGTGATCTACGGTGCAAGTGATACTGCGTTGAAAATTTTATTTCTACTTACTTAAAAACAAAGTATACGCATAAATTTCTTTGAATTATTATTAGAATAATTTTAAATCATTTGTGAACGACATATTTATTTTTTTAGAAAGTGTACCTGCTGAATCAGTATGTAGTAATTTCGTAAAAATGTTTTATTAAGTTCATGATTTAATATATTTTATTTATTCTACAAATATGTTCTTGTATATACATATATAAAATACAGTATAGATATAATAAGACTAACAAAATTAACAGTATATTCTATACTGTATTGTGATAATAAATGTAATTTGCATTTATTACAAACGAGACATTAATGTTTTTATTCAAAATATTGTAGTATTAATTCCTAGTAATGAACTTTAATGAAATATTTTCTTTCAACGTCGAATTATTTTATGTATAAGCTTACGAGATATCATTTACAAAGATTAAGGATAAAAGAATTAAAAACAAAATTTACAAATATTTAATTCTCAAAATCTGCGAATCGTAAAATCTTTGAAATCTCGTTTGTAGAAGTGCAACTTCTTATAAAAAAAATATTTTGGGAACGACTATGAGGAAGAAAGAAACAAAATGATAAATTTAACCCTTTTTTTCTTTATACAGAAAAAAAATATATATATTATACATGTATACATATATTTATACGTGCGCACTATTTGTACGCAAAATGTGATTCACTTGAACTTTAAAGCAAACAAACTAATTAAATATTCGTATAAATAAATTTAAAAAAGCCTATTAATATGAAAATGATCTAAAATTTTACTATTTGTGCTGTGTAAGATTTGGTCGGATATATATGATAATCATTATACTGTTTTTATAACACCGCTTTTGTCTAGGAACAGTTATAACTATTAATTATTGTATGGTATTATTTATTAAAACATGAATATTAAAATATACATTTTATTCTTTAAAGAGATTTTATGTTATTAGTTCACTTAATTAGTTTTCATTTTTTTTTGTATTTATAATTCCACAAAATGAGATATAACATTAATAATTTAGATAAAATTATAATATTTACCAAAAAATGATAACAAAATTTTGATAATTTTAAACAATCTCTGTCTAATTCAGGACTTCTCAAAGCGAGTAAATACTACGCATAAGTTATATATGTATATGAGTTTGTGACAGTGAAAGAGTTTATATTCACAGTTCCGGAAATATTTGCTCGGGTAAAGGGATGGTCACCAAGTAGAAAAGTTTAAAAAGTCATTTAAAGCTTAAAATATTTTCTAATATTCCTAAAAGTAATTCTATACACATAGAAACAAATAATGCAAAAATAAATAGAAAGATTTGGTTATTTATACTTACATTTCTATATTTGAAATGAAATGAACAAAGTTTTAATAGACAATATAATTATTACTAATTACGTAATTAATAATTAAATACTTACGTAATTATAAAGAAAAAAAACTTTTTATGATCTTGTAGTTTCCTTGTAATCCTTCGGTTTTTTCAATTGTTTATGCCAATAATAAATCCAAGCGTAATTCCTAACCAATTTTCATGAACAAGATCCTAATGTTTGCCATTTAATCGTGTCATATAAATTATTGATTTATTATTCTTGCACTAGGTACGTTATTGGTTTCATATTTCAAATAAAAGCCAATATATTTAAATGGATATTTAAGAGCTTTTATATCATAATAATTCTATTACAAATTAAATATTATTCATAGAAAAGAACAACAATAAATGATGTTCGTAGAATGTTAATTTTTCTACAATTAACTATGTTATATTATTTTTTATATTATTGCTTTTTCTGTTCTGGAGGATACCAATTAAGATAAAATAATCCTGATGTTTTGGCCTACAAAAAAAGAATGTTATTCGTGTGTATGTATATATACATTACTTTTTATATTCTATGTATTATACAGATAATTAAATGTTAAAAATTCTACATACCACAATTAAAGTGACTACGACAAAAGTAAGACAACCAGCTAATTGTAAATTGTACGATACTTGTTTTTTATCATAAGCTTTTTGCCATGAACCATTTGGAATTGGTAGACGATCCATTGTTGGTGGTTCATAATTTGCAGGTCGATAAGATGAAGAAAAACGGTTACCTATGAATATGAAATAAATTGATTATCGTAAATAATGTAATATTTATAATCAAATTAATCGCATAGCATTGGTGAATTTTATTCATGGGTTTATTAGATTTTTAATATTTGATATTTAACTTGTTAACATATAAGACATTACTATTACAATTTGACAGTAGAACTGTATTTATATTACTTTTTTATATCAATATTAATATTGATTATAATTTTTCATTTGTTGTGAAATTTATTGAGTTGACCGTCTTGTAATTGATTAAAATAAAAGTATAGTTAAAAATAAATTAACTATATAATTAAAAGCAGTATAGCATGACGTATGCGTATAGATATAAGATTATTGAACATTTCATTAAATTAATTATCATGAATATGACAATATAGAAATTAAATATACATTTTTGTAGACTTTGAAAAAATATATAAGTAAATTATATTAACATTTCACATAATATATATAGTGATATTATATAGTATTATGTAAGAATTGAAACTAAAGAATTTCTTAGTTATAAAGTATAATTTTTAATTATCTTACTAATTCGGGAGGCATTCCGTACAACAGAACGCACTGCGTGCTGAAACATCTTATGTTAACTTAAATTTTCTAATTTCTTTAATAAGAAACCTCTCGTACGTCCTCGAAAGACTTCCAACACTATACTAAGAAGAAGAAAATGCTGAATTACAGATAAGAAACTATTGAACACAATTCTTTGACTAAAGAATACAGAAGTACATAGAAGCTCACAAGTCCCCTTTTTTATCTATCCAGTTTCATTTTAGTTACTACCGGGACCACCAGTGAGCGATAGTAGGTAGAATACTGTAGGGTATTGGCTGCAGTATCTAGTAAGAGTGGGGAAAATTCCCTAGAGAACAGGCTAATCGACGAGTGCACACGGCACTTTATTGCTTTATTTTTGACAAAAATCATTTTTTATATTTTTTATTTTAGTATCTTGAAGTAATGATTTCATTTAATATAAATAAAAAATATCTTCATATTATTGTAAAAGAAATATTTTTATCGAGAATATCTATAGAATTATTTTAAGAAATCGATTAATCAAAGTCCTTAAAAAATTAAAGGATTTAAAACTTGATTTTCAAATAAAAACATTACAAATAAACGATAGCAGCAATAAGCAATAAAAAATGAAAGTACTAATACTCAAGAAATTGGAAAAAATTAAATTAAAATAAAGCTTAGAAATAAAATGTTATTAATAACATTGTATGGCTTCCTTATTCATTTTATTTAAAAGAAATCTATTTTTAATTATTTTATATCTTCCTATAATATTATTACACAATATAATTTTTAGGTAATATTTGTTGGCAAATATTTTATTCAATAAGTTTTCGTCTTATGAAAAATTTTAAAAATAATTACAGACTGTACAACTATTTAATATTATAAACGAATTAAAATGTATTGTAATAGTATCGAAGATTAAATGAACTTATTAACATATAATGTAGAATATCAAGTGGTACAAGCTCATTATTTTAGTATCAAATATTTGTACCAAAAAAAATGTTTTCAATTGAATGACTTCCATCTAACTACCTACAAAAAATTATTACAATCCTATATAAAATTACAAATATATTTCACATATATATATATATATATATATATTCACGACATTTTATAAATATAAAGTAATTTTGAAATATAAATTTTTTTTTTATATATATAAGCATTTAAAATTATAGAATTAAATTATAAATTAATAAGATATTTTGCATTTTTTAAACATTCTGAATTCACAACTTTCATTTATTCATTCTTTGTCTTTTGTATGAAGACGCATGTGCTTTTTTAAATTGTCCAATCTATTACAGCGACGATCGCAATAATCACACTGATAAGGCATTGAATTACTATGAACAACAACGTGACCATTTAAGTGACTTATCTGTTTAAAACGTTTACCACAAATTGTACAAGCATATGGACGTTCATTCATATGTGCCGATGCTATATGTGTTTGCAAGTTAGTTTTTCTAACAAATGTTGCTTTACAAATGTCACATTCGAAAGGTCGAATATTAGCGTGAATTGCTAAATGAGATTTAAGAACATTCTTGTGTTTAAAATTTTTTTCACAAAGATGACATTGGAAAGGACGTTCGTCGTTGTGTACTTTCTTGTGAACGGATAAATGCGCGAGCTGTTTAAACATTTTTGCACAAATTTCGCATTGATACGTTCGACCATCTTCATGAGCAGCACTTACGTGTCGACGTAGCGTATCTGCTAATGTGTATCTTTTGCCACATATTTTGCAAGAAAATGGCCTTTCGTTTGTATGTGTCATAAGATGTCCGTTAAGATTCCTTTTTTCTAGAAATCTTGCTCCGCACACGTCACACTGATATGGTTTTTCACCATTATGAATGTACATATGTTTTTTTAACGAATTCGATAAGCTAAATCTCTTCGAACATACAGTGCATTCAAATTTTCGTTCTCCGGTATGAACTAACATGTGAGATTTTACATGACCAGCTTGCTTAAATCGCTTCCCACATATTTTACATCCAAATTGACGCTCATGCGTGTGAGTAAATATATGACGTTCCAACACACTTTTTGTTGTGAAAACCTTCTTGCAATTGTCGCACTCAAAAAGACGATAAATTTCTTTAGACTTTAATATTGATTCACCTTGATGTGATTGCGAATGAGTTTTAAGTAAATCCAAAGATTCAAATTTAATGCAACATGTTGCACATTGGATAGATTTGTAATCTTTGTGCGTCAACGAATGTTGACTAAGGTGACCTAATTGTTTAAAACTTTTATTACATATTTTACAAATGTAAGGTCTTTCATTGGTATGAGAACGCATGTGCCTTTTTAATACACTAGGAAAACTAAATTTTTGTTTACAATATGAACATTCCAACGTTGGATTTCCATTCAATCTTGATATTCTATTTTCTTCTCTCTTTCTAGGAAATTGTCTTCTATTTATAGGATTTGATTTTTTAATAGATCTAATACATTTATCTGTATGATTCAATACTATGTTATTACTTCGATAAGATTTTATTATTGATTTATGTGTCTTTGGAATTTCTTCTGTTTCTATACTTTCTTTTTTACTAAAATTTATTTCAGTATATTTACTATTGATTTTATCATTTTTTATGCAATCTGTATCACTGTTAATTTGTTGAGGATTCTCGTGAAACTGTTGCATATGTTTCTCATATAATTTTAAGATATGAAATGTTTTGTTACATAATGTGCAATCAAATTGTCGTTTCTTAATATGAGTTTTCATATGATTTTTTAAATGTCCCAGTTTCATGTACTGCTTATTACAAATTTTACATGTTAAGTTTTGATTATTTATATGAGAATTATATTCTTCGATATTTGCTTCCGCACATGTCGAATCTTCCATTTGTAAACTATCCAAAAATGTTTCACTTTTAACGCTGACAAATTTAAAACTATTTGAATTCTTTTGAAATCGAAGAGAATCATCGCGATCGTTTATACGATTATTATGCAATGTATCATCATATTCAATATGGCACTGAAATAATATAAAAATATACAATAAATTAATTGTAATTATATATGAATTACAATATTACTTTAATAACGAGTATACATACATTGTCATTTTTATCCGTATCGCTTGTGTTTATCGAAATTATATTTTCAGATGTATGAGTTGAATTGTCAATCGTAGTAGTGTTATTTAGTTTTTTATTTAACGTATCATTAATCCATTCTTCTTCTGTCCATATGTCGTTTGCAGCATTTTTGGGGATGATTAATTTTTGAAACTCTTGATGAACGTTTTGTCCAAATAATATGTCGCACGGTATTTTACCATTCGGACAACGATATGTCGAATTTTGAAAGATTTGTATAAACTTTAAACCTTCGTACCACGATTTGTCAGGATTTTTGTTTAACCAACATTTCAATAAATTTTTAAAATCTCTGCTATTATCTTCTTCACACTTACAAATATTTCCATGTAATATGATAAAATCTTTCCATAAAATACGTAACTCTTTGACTATTTGTTCAGCAAAATTACGTCCGTTTCCACTTTGTAGAACTTGAGGAGCTCCAATAATTGATAATATATCTAGCAGCTTATTAGCTACTTCTTTCGCTGTATTGCTTTGCAGAGCGTGCAGTACCACAAATTTTGATGGCATATCTTCATAAACCAAAAAATATTTATAAAAATATGTTTGTTCTAATGGCATTTCTATAACATCGATTTGACCTCTTCGACACAATGTTTCATGTACATCTTTGATCTCTGAATGTACATGTGCATCAACGACAGTCCTAGTCAATGTGGAATTTAAATGCTGCGATTTATGATTCTGTAAAATATTTTATGATCACTCTTTAAAAAACACTATAGGATTATTACTATGCACATAAATATAATTTATATGCGCTTACTGTCGTTATTATATCCGAAGATATAGAAGCTTCTTCGTCGTTTATTTTATCTCTGTCTTTATTCGTCAAATCTTCAGGATGTTTCATATTCTTTAATGCTTGAAAGTTACGTTTGTTCTCTTCTAAATGGATTTCTTTCTTTACAGATACAACGTTATGATTATTTTTAGTGACAGTGAAAAATGCATGCAATGAACTTTTCATATATTTATTCCCAGAAGACCAATCCGTATCTACCGAAAGCTTATTTTCCATTTCTATCATTTGACTCTTTTCATCATATATTTCTTTTGCCTTAGATTGGAAATACCTAATTACATAATTGTATGTATTTTTATATTTTATAGTTTTTTAAAGTGTTAAGAAAGATTTCTCTATGATCATTCTCGTAACAATGATATTGATGTTTTCTTTTTTTATAATAAACCGTATGATAAAATTGCAGAATAATTACTGACGATGTTTATAACGTACCTATAAAATTAAATTAAATAAGGCTCATGGAGTAACACAACAAATTAAATCATTTGTTTACAAACATGTCACTTGATTAAATTAACTCTGAATTTTGTATTTCTTCGTATTAGATTTTCTCGCTTTTGACACTTAAACATCGTTCTTCTCCGATACTTCATATTTTCATTATATATATATATAAATAAACAAAATTATCATTCGAATAGAAATAATAATTCAAAGAAACATATTTAAATTAATTATCTTATAATTCTAACCTATAAAAAATGTTATACAGTACCAACTTACAATCAAATTATTTTGTTGTTTCTTTTCATTTTACGTAGACATTGATTAATAATCAGTCCATTTAATTATTTCTCAATTATTTAAACAATATCAATGCTTTTCAGTGAGTAAAATAAAGTAAATACTTATTTTATAATTCGATTCAACACGAGCGCATTCAAAATCATCTCATTTTCATTCGTTTGCTTTAAAACTTCGCATTAAATATATTATATATTTAGAAAGAGATAAAGCTATTGGTTATTTAATGAAGATAAATAATTCGAATATTTAAAACATTGTTTACATTATTGTTTACATTCACTATTGACGCGGTTCCATCTAGTTTGTTTATTGTTTTATGGTTGAACCATTCAACATTTAAAACGTCTTATCTCGTCTTATCTTTTTTTAAGACTTTAAAATGTTTCTTTTTAAAAAGACAATACGTTATTTTTGTTTTAAATTCTAAGTCTAAAAATAGAAATCCATACAAAACAATGAGTTTCATTTGTTCCAGCAGTGAAAAACAACATACATTATAGGCATAGCGTGATATTCCTTCTTACAATTAAAGTGATATAGCATTTAAATGCAATAGGTAAGTAAATACAACGAAGCTCTATACAAGGAGGACGATCGAGACAGGCGTTCTCATTGAATTTGTGTCGTTGAAAATGAGGAAACATCGGGTACGATAATTCTCCACGAGGGCGGCGGTGGTGTTCATGGGTTCAGATTTTAATACGTGTGTGTATTGTTATTTTTTGTGTGGGTGTGTGATACAACCATATATATTTGAAATATCATACCGTACGAATCGACGCGCTCTCTAGTGGCAATAGATATCATCCTGTCATTGTGAATATTGTAGCACAGTTATAACACTGCGATCGTCCTCCTTGTATATTGGCTCCGTGGTAAATACTATGGTTCGTTTGCCATGCGCAAATCTAATCTCTTGTAAGCCCCACAGCTGTTAAATGCATTCACGAAGAAAGTTGACTGGGCAATACAACGCTGTCAGAACTGTCACGTTGTAATTTTTATATAAACGAGAAAAACAAATATACATAAATACATATATATATGTATATACATCTATAGTTTTCACGGATTTTCAATATGGAAATTAATAAGCGATTAAGGGTTGGAACGTTTTTGGCGATATTGGCTCTTTTAGCTGGTTTATACTACAGAAATTCGGAAGATATATTAAAAAAACGTTTGTCGGCCTTATTGCATAGTTTAGAAAAACTAGAAAACAAACATTCAATTACAAACAAACCCAAAGTTGCCGTAGGTTACGGTATATGCACTGACATATATATTAATGCTAAGAATTTATTACATTACTCAGATGATATTGGCTTGCCGGAGCATTTTAAAGAAATCAATACAGAAAAAGAATTGTTAAAGAATTTTGCTTATTATTTTCGATATGGTGCTGCCGCTGAGTAAGTAGTCTTTTTAATTTGTCCCTTTGATTGTAATTTTTATGCTAATTACTTTTTTTCAGACGGTACATGCCTAATCAAACGTTGTTCGATGAACTTGTTAACAAAGCTCGTACATTTCCTTCTTCTTATTCAACTATTGGAGGAAACGCAGCGATAATGGCACTAAGATTTGCGAGAGAAGGCTGTGATGTGATATTAGCTGCTAAATTAACTCAATCGTTGCACCAAATGATTCCACAAGTTATTAGTGTAGTGGGTGGTGAAGTTAAACGTGATGATATTCATTTAGTTTTAGAATATAAAAATGGAGATATTTGGGGACCCTATTCGAGTACTAGAGCGAATAGGTAAATATAATATATAATTATGATAGAATATTACAATACATGATTAATTAAATTTTTATTATATCTAATTTAGATATATTATTCATAACGATGAAAATAATCCAGTTATTAGTTCTTTTAATGCCTTTGATAAAATTCTATCTACCACGAATTTTGATTTACTTGTAGTCAGTGGTTTGCAAATGATGGATAATTACCCATTTAGAGAAGGTAATGTATAAAGATGGCATCTTTGGTATTAAAAATACTATATAGCACGATGTAAGTTAAAATAAGTTTTATATTTATACTATTTTATAATTTTCTAAATTGTATGTAATATTTTCTTTTTGTGTATAGGAGAACGTGTAAGAATTCTTCGGAACGTGAATAAACAAATGGTTAACAGACCATTGCATACAAAAATACATTTTGAAATGGCCTCATTTGTTGATGACAAATTATTTTCTGAACTTTGTAATTTGGTTATTCCATTCGCCGATAGTTTAGGAATGAACGAACAAGAAATAGCTAATTTATACAATACCATGTATTATGGCAACATTTCATTGGTTGCTAATTCAACTCCAAGAGTTGCTACGGTTTTAGATCAGATGAGAACATTGTTTAAACTCATACGTCTAAGAGGAAAGTCTATTTCTAATTCACGAGCACTTACTCGTATGCATGTACATACTTTGGCATATCAGGCAATATTTACTGTAAAAAATACTATTTGGAAGAACACAATGGCTGCAGCAGCCAAAGCATCTTTAACAGCTCATAGGCATGTTTGTGCAACAAGCAATGTGAGTAATATTTGAATTTCATTGGAATAAAAAAATACATTTTTTATGTTTGTATCTTTATTTATTATTTATCTTTTTTATTCAGATTGATATTCAGAAAGCATCATTAGTTATGGATGAAAGCTTTTCAACTTCTAATACTCGTGGTACAAGAATGCCTTTGGATGTTAATAAACCAGTTTCTTGTTGGGAAGAGTCTCTATCTGTAGAAAAAGAAAACATTCTTATCGAAGTATGCGTTGCTCCTGTATTAATATGTACACAAGCAGCTCAAACTGCAGGCGGTGGCGATAATATTTCAAGCGCAGGTCTTGTTCTTCAAATTTAAATTAAATTATTCGATGCAACGATACGTATATTGGTATGCATTGTTTCATAACACAGCTCGTAATTTGATTTTTTAATAACATGGAATGTTTTTTCATATCGAAGCATTTACTATTGTATTTAAAATATGCTTTACTTAGAAGCATTCCAATGAAGATCAGCATTCCAACTATATTAGGTTTATAAACATTGTTCGATAGAAATTTCGTATAAATAATTATATGTCGTTACGCGCATTAAGAAGTTTTATTACGATGTAAGAGTGGAATTAGAATATTCGTAAAAGAACAAACAACTTAAGTAAAATAAAAATAACTCAAAAAAATCTGTATATAAAACTTTGTTATGAAATAATAAGATAAATATGCCATTGCACATAATTTTATTAAATACTTTTTTTGCTTTAATATTTGAAAAATAAAATAAAAACCCAAAATAAACGATGCTATTATTTAAACATATTATAACATCAATGTTAATGGTTCTTGAATAAACTAAATAGTGGAAATATAGTATATTTTTACATGATCCTTATATAATAAAAATGTGTGTCTTCTTGAACTTCTAATATATGTATTAATACTTTTATTAATTTTTAAATTAGACAAAAGTAAAAGATATTGATATACATATTGAATAATTAAACTAGGATCATTTAGTAAGGTATAATTTACAACATACAACTTATCTTGGTGAAAACTCTATTTGTGTTTACAAGAAATGGCATAATAACAGTAAATGACATTGATTAAAATTCCTCCATGAAATAGTTGCGTGTCGAATGATCATAATAATAGTCATTCAAATTCTTATTATGTCATACATTTTCTTCCATAGTATTGATGAACAACATAATGAAACTCTTAAAGCAAAATAATAGCTGAATAGTTTCTAAGATTAAGACAATTAATTAAAATGATGTATCTAAGAATGGCTTTTATTTAAATTTGCCTTATCATAGAAAATTTTTTTAAAATTTTAATGCCAAGATTAAATTATCTATGAACAATGTTATAGAATCGTGTCTCCTTCATCGATACCTAACATCTTTAAATCATCAGGCCCAGGTTGCGTATCAGCTTCAGCTTCCGCTTGAGTTATTTCAGGAGGTGGTTGATCCATGTATTCTGGTCCATATCCAACACAGCCTAACATACTGTACATAGATGAATACATAACATTACTATCTTGCTGACTTTGCTGCTTACTCTCAGCTGTTTCTTCTTTAGGAAAAATAATATTCAAAGCTTCTTGTAAGTCGTCAGGTAAAGGAATGCTTGGATCTGGTCGTTTCTCGGTAGGCTCTGGTATATCCGATATATCATGAGTTACTGTTTCCACCGAGGGTAGCGTAGGGGGTGGAGGATTTTGATGATTCGTAATAAAGGTTGGTGGACTTTGAATTTGTGGTGGAGGATTTGTAATAAATGGCGGATGTGGTTGCATAGGAGGTCGCAATACTTGATGAGGTGGGAAACGTGGTGCAGGTTGCATAAATGGCGGCGGAGTAGACATAAACGGGGGTGGCATAGGTCTTGCTGGAGTAAATGTTGGCCTATTTTGTATATGTGGTTGTTGAGGTTGTTGTTGTGGTTGTTGTGCCTGTACTTGTGGCTGTGATTGCGGCTGTGATGTTGGTTGTTGTGATGAAGATTGCTGTTGTTGTTGTTGTTGATTTGGAGGGAAAGATGGTGGTGGTCGATTTAAAGGAGGAGGAGGATGAGAAGGTACCGTCACTTTTGTTGTACTTTGAGTTTGTTTTTGTTGTTCTATTATTGGTTGTTCAATGACAGTTTCTTCAGACTGATCTTCAATTTCCATATCGACAACCTGTTGCGTCGGTTTTGATTCATTTAAAACAGGTGGTGGTGGAGCAACTAATATCTTCATTGGCGGAGTCTTATTTGCTTGATTAGCATTATTATTTAAATTAACTGGCGTTGCCAGTTTTGTTATATGTACTACTCCCGGTGGATTAATTATTTCATTGGGAACTTTAGGAGTATCTTCAAATTTGCTTTGTTGATAAGGCAATGGAGCAATATCTTTTTCAGGTAACTTTGGCTCTTCTGTCTTTTTCTTAAACAATGGTAATCTACCAATGAAAGGTAATTTTCCTTTTGCCACCTGTGCTGACTTTTTCGATTGAACACCACCCTTTTTTGATTTAGAAGCTGATTCATTTGTCTTTTTCTCAAATTTCGATTCATCATTCGAGGAATTATCTTCTCTTCTATCTTTTTCATATTTTTCATAATTTCTCTTAGGACTATCACGCCAGCTTCTTTCTCGTCTCGGTGACTCATTTACATCTCGTTTTCGTCTTTCCTCGTAATAATCCCTTTCCCTGTCTTCTCGTCTTTCTCGATCCCTTTCTCTGTCCCTATCTCGATCTCTTCCTCGTCTTCTTTCGTACCTACTGTATCGATCATATTTGTCTTCTCGCCTATCGTATTTACGATCACGATCATCTTTATACCTGTCTCTCTCGCGTTCTCTTTCTTCTTCTTTTTCAGTGTTTTTGCTTTCCGATGGCTTCAAAGTCATATTCACTTGCTGTTTTGTCCAGAAACCCATGTGAGGTTTAGGCATTTCTTCTGGTTTAGGTAATTCGATTGGTTTACTCGGTAACGGCTGTACTTTGTCTTCTTCTTTTTTAATCCAAAATGGTTTTGGTGGTTCTTTTGGACCCCATGCTTCCAAATTGTCTGATTTTTTAGAGAAACCACTTTGTTCTTGCTCTTCTTCTTCTTCTTCTTCCGTTATCATTTTTTCTTGACTTTGAGTTCTGTTACTTATCGATTTAATTTCTTCTTCCTGCTTTGCCTTCAATTTATCTCTTATTGAATTTAAAAGTTGTCGATCATCCGGTTCTACGGGTTGTTGTTCTGGAGTAGTCGCTTGATGAGCTGGTGCATTTTTTGACCAATGACCTTTTAATTTGATTCTATGATAATCGATTTCTTCATTTAGGATTGCTTGAGTAGAAGCTTTCATTTTATTTCTCATAGCTACTCGTATACTTTTGGACATATCTTGATCGGAATCAGATTCAGAATTGTCTGATTCACTAGAAGTATCGCTAGCACTACTCCTGTTTCTACGTTTCTTGGACTTTTTTGACTTCTTCTTATTCTTCTTAGATTTTTTGGACTTTGGCGGTGGATCGTCATCCTTTTGTTTTTGTAATTCCATTTGTATTTGTTTGTGCTTCTCCTCAGAAAAAGCTTTCTCACGATCTGCCATCCAGTCAGTTTCCCAATGCGGATTTTGTTCAACAAAACGCTGAGAAAAAATATAAAATTTGAATTATCTTGCTTTATTAAAAACTAAAGTATATTTTAGTTTACTTACAGAAAAATTCTCAGAATGCCTCTTAGATTTCAGATGCAAACTCGCGCAATGAAGATCTCCAATCCAGGAATAACAGAGATTGCAGTACCATGCAGTTGCTGCACTGAAGAACTGTAGTCCTATAATCAAATAATATTTCAATTAGCATTACTTAAACTTTAAAATATGTAAACAATTGTAAGTTCATAAAGAATGACCTTATGTTCTGCCACGACACATTCATGTCACTGAAAACAAAAATAATATATTAAATATTGATCGACAAATACTTGGATATATTAAATATTCTTCATAAAGTCCCACGATGTTTGCTGGAATTGAAAGAGGAATGAAAAAAAATATCTTTATTGCTTTTTTCGTATCATCATACAAATAATACATACAATATTAATACATACAATTTACATACGTATATAATTTTAAAAGAAGGAATATATATACCGTAATTATTTAGCTAATATTACTGCATCGACATAATATTATTGGTTTTGTACATTAAATAAATATTTACGGTATATTTTACAAAGATTTTCATATAATACATCACGTTTACATATCATATATATTTTACTTGTTCATATTGTCGTGTGTGTAATTCTTTATTAATTATTACAATTAAATTTAAACATGATATCATATAAAATATATATCTTCACTAACACCATCACTGTGTATATACATTAATATTATTCGCAGATATCACATCTTGATACCAGACACAAGCCTATACATGGTGATTTTAAATATGTGCTTATATGAGAGAAAGAGAAATAGAAAAAGAGAAATATAGAGAAAAGTAAACAACTTCTGTAAGACAAACCAAAATTTCAAAATTCTTTGAAGCTGCGCCTCTCAAAGTAGTCTAAAATCCAGTGCATCTGTATAGAGCATATAACATTGCTAATAAATTTATTATTAATAATCTATGAATTAAATATATAAATTAGGTTAATATTAAAATATTAAAATGAGTTACATACATATAAATACTCAAATAATAATTGAATTATGTTTTTTCAAAATTTTAGTTTCTTCTAAAAATAGTTTGAACAAAATGAACATTTTATTTAGTTAAATTTATTGTATTTAATATATGAAGAAAATTTATAAGCAATGTATATATGCATAGATTTCTTCAATACATACCGAATAACACAATGTCTGTGCACAAGCTACGGAATTGTATTCTATTAGTAATTACCCACTGAAATTAACCATACCTTTGATTGGTGTTCTTTTCGTTGGTAGTCCAGGATAATAGGGCACTTCTTTTTCTGTTCCCTCTCCATTCTGCTCATGCCATGGCATATCAACTATCTTGCGTTCCTGTAGCATGAAACATTATTTCAATAATAATTCTTAATATTCATTGTAAAAAGTTTGGTACTTTTTGGTAGGTATTGATTTGATGCATCAATCAGACTATGTACCAAGTACCTGCATATATAGCTCATTAGTGTAATAAAGCATCCACTTATAAATATTTTTTGACTTATAAAGATATACTCCTAACCGAATCCTTTTGTTCTCTTGTAACTCAAATCAATAATTGCATATATTCTGGTTCCTGTTTTAGTAACTGATAAATATTATTTGTCAAAGTGAATTTTTACATAGAAATTTTCTAAGTCTACTTGTAAACGATAAATTATACACCAATGAAAGATTAAAATATAATATTGTCACTTACTAAGCAAACTTCTTTGTGCTCATTGCTATGTAGATGATTCAAATATTCCTTAGCCGTTTTAGGAAATATATCGCAAACTTTGCACCAATGCATTTCTGGATCGTAATGCACGAAATTGTACATAGGTTTAGAATCTTCGGGAGATCGTCTTTCTCTACCATCTCTATCAGCTTTGCATTCTTTATCGGAATCCGTAGCTGATGATCTGTCGGGTGAATCAGATTTTCCTGTAGGGAAGTCTTCTTTTGGACTTTTTGAACGTTTATTCAATTCCAATTTAAACTTGCTTTTTAAATCATCTACCGTGACTTTATCGCCAATAATTCCAGTGAGCATATCAATTACATTATGTATTGACTTCATTTTGTTTTGTATTTCAATCTAAAAGTAAAAAAAAAACCATATAGAATAAATATGAATATCATACTTTAAAAATTATTTTACCTAATTAGAAACAATCGTACAGTATCATTCAGAATATATATATTTAGTAGTTTACCTGAAGTTTTTGATTTTCTTTAATTATGCGATTATTTTCTCTTCCACCTTCTTTACCAATTTCATCACATTGCTGTCGTAAAATTTCCAGCTCACGTTGTAATGTTGCAGATTTCTTGACATATTCTTCACGCTGCTTTCCTAACGTTGCTTTTTGTTGTTTCACTTCAGCTGCGATGGCTGTCATACGATTAATTTTAAAGTACAAATATATTATAAAATACATTAAAAATGTTAATTTTCTTTCAATTAAACTAGTTAATTAATAAATACATTAATAAAGATATTACGGATTACTTAAAATAATTTATCGTAACATGGTAACAAATATAAAAATAAAGTCATGTTAAAATTAAATACCGTCCTTTTAACTAAAGATTTAAATAAATATTTAAAAATTCTTGTATTTTTTTTAATAGTACATTATTATCTAAAATAATACCTTCTTTTTTAGCATCTTCAGGTCTTGACAAAGATGTTAATAAACCAGAAGATCCACTATCCACAGCTCGTGATGATTCTTGTTGTGTAGTAAGTGTAGGGGGTGGTGGTGGTTGTTGGCTGTTATATGGTACCTGATTTCCTTGCCAATTTGGTGGAGGATAATCCTAACAGAATGAATATGTTCATTCAATTTTAAATACATGAATGGTGCTTCTTTTAACCCTTACCTTTACTTGTCCACATTCAAATCAGAACTTTGGATAATACATGGAAGATTCTTGAAGATGAATCATCTGGTCAATTATAGTAGTTTCCTTTTTGTTAACCAATAAAATAAATAACGCGAATGTTATACTTACTGACGGAGCTGCTGAGTTTGTAGTATAAAAGAAGAAAAATAGTGTACCTGTTTTTTTTTCTTTTTTTTTTCTTTTTTTTTCTTTTTTTTTTTTTTTTTAAATGACACTAACCTTCCAAATCGCGTAAATAATGTAATGATCGCGTGTGTACATATATATATATATATATAAAGTAGTACCATTGATTGCACACGGGCTTCGGAAAACCCATATACTTAAACATCTTGATATAGAGTTTATTTATATCAGATTATTAAAATAAAATATTGTACTATTCTACTAAAAAATTTAAACATAAAGAAGTCACACAATCATTCAACATTGCCAATCATAAATCATACATCTAATTTTTAAAGTGCAATCATTCGTATACTAAATTAAAATAATATTCTTTGTTAATAAACTTACACTGCGATAACTTGTTGGTTGTTGATAGCTGTAATCATATCCTTGTCCATAGTTATAGTTGTAGTTGTTGTATCCTTGATTATATGCAGGTAAAGGGGGTGGCGGTTGACTTGTATTCGGTGGTGGAGGAGCCTACAATGATAGTAGGTGTTTCATTTAATTACTTAATATATTTTAAAAACTATTTATTAATATTAACCCCTTGCACTATGTTTTAACGCATTGAGTTACGTGCCATATTCAGTACTATATTTTGTACTTTTTACATTTGGCCTGTAAGGCGTATCACGAGTCTCACATAATGTTATAGTGCAAAAGATTAGATATGAGATTATGTCATAAAAAACTTAATTTAACATTAACAAATATTATGAAAAATGTATTTTACCTGGTATTGATTATGAACAGCAGAAACATAACTACTAGAACCAGCAGAATTAGGAGCGTTTTGAGACTGCGAGGACGCAGCTTGTTTCCAGTCTTGTTGAGATCGATTACTTTCTTTTCTTCTTCTATCTCGAGAACTTGAACGCGATCTTCTATCTCTCGATCTAGATCGTCTGTATCTGGATCGTCTGGGAGATGGAGATCTATCGTATTTCCTAGATCTTCTTCTATGCGATGAATCGTCTGAATCAGCACTTGGACTCCTTGGACCTTTGCGCCTAGATTCTTGCTCCATCTTATATTTGTCTTTGTTAATGAAAAAGTTTCTTTAAAACATTTAACACAAAAATAAGTCTCCACAATTTTAATTACGAAAGGAAAAAGAAAAAACCATATAATAAATAATAATTAAAGAAATATGCTCATACGATATAAATTTATGACCAAAGGTTATAATTAGAGAATATCAAATATACTTAGTTAAAGTATAGATAGATTAAAATAATTAATTTCATTTAATAACACGATCATTAAAATTTCTCTTTTTTTTGCTACATATTAGGTCATATTTAACTAGCTTGCCATGAGGTAATCCGTATTCCTGAATAATTAGATATAATGCAACCAATAAGGTATATTATAAATAATTATAAATATAACCAAAGGATTCGTTAAAGTATTAGGAACAATATTTCTAAATATCTCATTAAATTAAAGAATCCGTTGTAAATCATTTAAAGAAATTGGAATACTTTTTAGATACTGCAATGCAGCCATTATCATTTCAACGTTTTAATACACGCCGTATGTTATCATATTTGCATTGGATCGTTAATTAAAATCAATTTACCTGTAATATATAAAATCGCTATTTATCTTCAAGTTTATATTTCGTAATCATTTGCTATTACGATAATAAAATGTCAAAAACGCTTGGTCAGAACACCACACATCACGACTTTCCAAGTGAATAGATGAAGCTAAAGTGTAATGGCGACTTTTGCGTATTGCCAACTGTTAAATATTAAATCATCGTTATCAATTTCAAACTTCAATTTGTAGTTCTTTTTTTTTAAATATATTTTTATTCGACTCAACAATTAAATATACGAGTTAAAGATAAAACTAAATATTATTAATAATAATAATATTTTTAATTTGATTACAATTTGGAACTATTCGATGAATATAAAATTCATTATAATCCATTGTTATTGTGATTGCTCTCACTTTGTACCACTGTAATCAAAGTAAATATTTTAATGGTATTAATATTTATTATTCAATATTCCTTTTAAATGGTTACTATACATATATATATTTCAACTTCAGAAAATGCATTCTCATCTATCACTATTATTTAATTTACAATAATATTTTTTTATTAATAAAAAAGAATTATTGTAAAAACCAGTAAAATGTTAAAGAATATATTTTTGTATATATATATTGTTATTACATATAAAGATAAAAAAATAAATATTGCAATTTTTTACAATCTTTTGTTTATTTTTTAGTATCATACTTGCAGTAATTTTCTCTTTTTACTTTTTCTTCCACTCTCGTTCCTTCTACGTTTTCTAGTTAAGTTTTTTTAAAAGTAGTTTAGCTGATGCGTGATATAATTTTTGTATTAGTATCAAAATGTACCTCCCTGTTTGATCTTGGAAGGAATTTTGGAAACACCCTGTATATCAATGAAGTAACATGGCGACTGACGAAAATAGTAATTTAGAGGAAGTTTTGGAATATAAGATTTTTAAGTACTCCAGTTATACAGCTTCTTACGTACCTGAGTACGTAAACACATATTTTATTTTTAACTATTTAAATATATTTATTTATTTACTTAATTCGTTTGCGATTAATTAACGAGAATGATATGGCGACCGTTTAACCTAACAAATTTATCCGTTTCATTTCAAAGTATATTTTATAAAATAATGATACGTCGATTGAAATTATTTAAATAAATCGTAACGAGCTCGTATTTAATATCCTTTTCTTTCTTGTTGTTTTTCTTTTAAGGAATATTCTTGTAGATAAACCGTCAGATCAAACTTCACGTTGGTCTTCTGACAATGACCATCCTAACCAGGTAAACATTCGTACATTCTGTTTGGAAAATGATCTACTTTTCTTTTTTTAAACTATTAATCTTCGTGTACAATTATATCAAACGTAAAAAAGTAGATGTCACGAAACAATTAATAATAATAAGTCATATGTGTTTCATTATTTATTATAAATACAATAAATGATAATAATTGCTATCATCTTATTATTGTAATATTTTAGTTTCTTACATTGAAATTACAACGTCCCGCCATTGTTAAGAAAATTACTTTTGGCAAATATGAAAAAACTCATGTATGCAATATAAAAAAATTTAAAGTGCATGGAGGGTTGGAACCCGACTATATGATGGAACTTTTAGTAAGGTAAAATATTATTTTATGTAGAATAATTAACCGTTTGAATCCTGGGGTCTTTCGAAAAATCGTGTTAACAAATGTCAAGTTGGTCGACAACATATTTTGTTCTTCAATAACATGATATTTTTCGATTAAAAAATGTAACAGCACGTTTATGCTGCAAGGAATTCAAACAGTTAAGGAAGTTATAGAAATGATTTATTTTTCTTTTCTTTTTTTAACTTGTTTTTCAGTGGATTAAACAATGATAGCACAGCCCAAACGTTGGAATTAAAACACGTATTAGGTCACGAAGGAAATTTGTTTCCCTGTAGATACATTAAAATTATTCCTGTACATTCTTGGGGACCCAATTTTAATTTTTCCATTTGGTTTGTACGCTTGCATGGTATCACTGACCCTAAAATTGTACAAACTGCTATTAGCTGGGTTGATATTGTAAGTACTTGAATAAACATTAATTATTTTTTGATATTAATCCAAAATCAACTAAATTTTATTTGTTTATATATATTACAGTATCGTCAAAGAGAAGTAATAAGGTTATGCATGAAACATTTTCGAAGATTCGAACAACCAGAAATTGTTCACACTTTGCAAAGAATCACAGGCGTTACTTTGGAAGATCCTCGGTTATCTATGCTGTATGATTTGTTAGTTACCAAAGGTGATCATCTTCAGGCGGAAGGTTTTATAAGCAACGCAGTCATGTGTAAGCTAGTTTTGAATATGTTTTTTACACACTACACAATATACATAACTTATTTCTTTTTTTTTATAAAAATACTTTTCTAAATATTCTGTAAAAAAAAATCCAATTACTAATAAAATTTTAGTTATTCTTTTATTTACGATAAAAGAGTTCTATACATTTATTGATATTTTGATAATTTATGTTTTATTACTTTTCCTTTCGTGAAAAAACTTCAGATTATTGTAAATTTTTTATCTTTACGCAAAAAATGTCATAAATTATTCTATAGCTGGACTACTGAATGACTATATCAATGCTCAGACCTATAGAGCGGTTTGGAAAAAATTATCTACGAGTGAGCCTAGACCTGGAATGAGAGGAGGACATCAAATGATCCTGGATCCAACTGCTGAAATGTTGTATCTATTTGGTGGATGGGATGGAAATCAAGATCTTTCAGATTTATGGGTTTATGACATAACTGCTAATCAATGGATCCTCCTATGCAAAGATACTGAATCAGTAGTAAGTCCTCAAATTCAAGGTGATATACTTAATAAGAAAAATTTTTAATCATTCCTTTTTTGTCCAAACCCAAATTATTACAATGTATTATATAGGGTGGACCTAGTGCTCGATCATGTCATAAAATGATTCTTGATCCAGAAAGACGACAAATCTTTTTACTCGGACGATATTTGGATACGCAGTATAGAACACCAGAAAACCTAAAAAGTGATTTTTATGTTTATGATATTGAATCAAATAAGTGGACTCAAATATCAGAAGATACTGGTGTTGATGGTGGACCTCAACTAATATTCGATCATCAAATGTCAATAGATACTGAAAAACGAATAATTTACGTATTTGGCGGTAGAATTCTTGTTTCATCTAACACGTAAGTTATTATATACCTATTAATAATTATTTATATATAAAAATTTTATTTATGTATAATAGGTTAATATTTAATTACTATTTAGTTCTGAAAATCATGCAATGTTAGCTAATTCAACGGAACAAATATTTTCTGGTTTATATTCTTATCATGTGCCGACTGGTACTTGGAATCGACTCGCTTGTGATATTGCAAGACAGGGTCCTTCAGAAATACCAACTATTAGGTCACGAGCTGGTCATTCTATGTTGTTTCATTCAGTAAGAATTCTTGATATTATAAATTATTATATAAATAGTATAAAAAATATATTATAAAATTGATATTCAATTCTTTAATTTTTTTTTCAGGGTGAACGAAAGTTGTATATATTTGCAGGTAAACGAAGTAAAGAATATTTAAGAGACTTTTTTACTTACGACGTAGATACAAATAAAATAAATTATATAAATTACAATGACGTTGGAGGGAGAGATACTGATCGTCTTCCAGCAGCTGGCTTTACTCAAAGGTCAACAATTGATCGTGATCTTAATGAAATATATGTTTTGTCGGTTTGTACTTGAAAATTCCTATTTTCTTCTATATATATTTATATATATATATGTTACAATGGTACATTATATATTAAAAAGATTCTATATAGGGTTTAAGTAAAGACAAAGATGAGAGAGATGATAATGTACAGAATTCTTTTTGGGTATATACTATTAAAAATAACACATGGTGCTGTATTTATCGTAATGACAATTTTGGTGAAAAATATTGGACTAAAATGCAAGATTTTGAACCATGTCCAAGATTTGCGCACCAGTTAGTCTACGATGAAATCAAAAAGGCATATATTAAATTTGTTTTCAATTTATATGAAATGTTACGTATATTTGTACAAAAATATATTTATCTTTATATTCGATAGGTTCATTATTTATTTGGAGGAAACCCAGGACGATCTTGCCTTCCTAATTTACGACTAGATGATTTTTGGCAATTACAATTATGTAGACCGTCTCACGAGCAAGTATTACAAAAATGTAAATTAATCATTAGAAAACATAAATTCGAAGAACTTGCTTTAAATAATAGTGTTGAAGCATTGGAATATTTACAAACTAAAGTGTCCGAAATTATTGATCATAATGATAAAGAGCAAGAGAAAGAGGTATTAGAAAATTTCTTATTTATACATATTTACTATTTATATTTAATTTATATAAGTGTATAAAGTTTCTTTTAGTATTGTATTATATATGTATTCATACATTTATTTAAATTTAACAGTTCCAGTTGTTGACGTCCGTACTATTTCGCGAGCAAACAAGGTCACTAGATGAAACTGCAGATTCTAATCCAACTTCTTCTGCTGTTTCAAGTAACTTTATCGATATAAATACAGATCAATATGTTAAAATAGGCAAAGTTCATGCTTTGAGAATAGAGCTATATGATAAACTTGCAGAATTTTTTTCCGATTCACTTGCACAACCGCGCGTTAACCTAATCGATCTTGTGTCATTATGATGCAATAAATATTAAAAGAAGGAAACATCAAGTACGTTGACATTAATTATATATCCAGTATGAATTGTTAAATGATATAAAGCAAAATCAGTTATTTTTTTTCTCTCTTTTTCTACAAGGTTATTTGTTGTAATATTTACCATTATTTCACATATGAAATCGCAATTTGTACTGCACTTTTTTTACAAATTTAGATAGAGATATAGGTCAGAATTAATTAGAAAAGTGATATTCGCATTAATTTCTTCTCGAATTAAACTTTTACCGGATAAATTTAAAATTTTTGAAGATATTCTAAGGCAAATATAAAGAACAGCATTAACCCATTTGCATTCATAAGCGTTTTCTGAACAGTAGATAAAATAATTTGGAATTATTAATGCGGCATTGGCAAATTTTACCCTCTTTAAACCTTTGTGGATGAAGCTTTAAAATAATCAGCTTATTTTTGTCATGTACTACGAGTTGTAATGATATACCAATTAATCATTCGTTAGATATTTATTCAATAGATACAGATGTTACTATTATCTTATTTTATGTTGTTAAATAATATACAAATTTTATATTCATAGAGTATACTTATTTATTAATTATTATTTTGTTATTAGATATTGATTAAACTTTAACTTCATAGCTATTGATTGGTTCTTCTTATTTAAATTAAAAATTAAAAAACAATCTAATTATATTATTTAAGATTAAATTTGTGATGATACAACAGACAGACTAACTATCGATTGAGTGTCTCTAATTTATGAAATAAATAAAGCTATGATGCACATGGGTTAATATTGTATTTTGCTGTTGTAAATTGTTGCTTACATATATAGCAAAAAGAGTAATCAAATATTGATGATGTATTTTTTACATATTGACATATTTGTCTTAGAAGTAAGGAAACACAAAATTCGAAAAAAAATTAATATATATATATGTACAATTAAATTCATTTATATGCTAAAATATTTAATAAAGCTAATAAAGAAGAAGAAAAAAATATGTTGT